CCTGTTTCCTCATGTAAGAAAGATAAATTCATGTCTTTATGTCAGGGAAAAAACGGAAAGATGGATGTGTGAGTCTGCGGCATCCTCAACAGGTGGGACAGACAGACACACTTCATGTTGGAATAAGTGTACTCTAAGTTGTACTTGTATCCAAATATGTGTAAATAAAAATCAAAAAATATGAAATATTCTGTAAATACTTGAATAACCATCCCTTGAAATCACAGCACGATTATTAAATTAAGTTAATAACTTGTTACATGCATATCTGTCAGGATGCTGCAAACAAAAAAATCGAAGAGAATATAGGGATCGAGGGGATTTGAATTTCCAGGGTTTTTTTTATCCCAAAGCACATAAACACGTTTTTTTTACCTTATCCAAACAAAAAAGACTTTCAAGAAACTATGATAACAATTCATAAAGCAGAATCAAATACTTAAAGGTTTTTTTTATTTTTTTATCAAAGATCAAACAGTTAGTCTGACCTCTAACACTGTAGAAACCTATAGGCCTAGTGAACATTTAAATATTACTTTTCACAAACTTCTTTCTTTTGCACACAATGATAGGTACTCTGCATCTTTAATTTGATACAGCCATCAAACGATTACCATTTTATTTCTTTTCCACATCCCTGAAAGAAAAAGAGTATGAAATAAAAGTAGGCCCTCTGATTTGAATCTTTCGATCACTACTGATGATCAATTGGTTCAACATTTGGATAACAAAATGTCAGGAAATAGGGACAGATGCCTGCTGTTCTTCTGACATCATCCAATATTTTGCAATGTTCAACCAACTGTCCAAAACCTGTTTATGATTTTCAACTACAAACTATGAAAATCAGTGAATCCTCACATTAGAGACAGTCAAACCAGTTTACAACCTGCAAATGTTTTTGGCCATAAAACTGTCACATTCAATGATTCAGGCTCAGATTAATTTGCCATTGATCATGCAATCCACTCATTGATTGGTGAGTGCAGTTTTGTAAAACAGGTAAAGAGATTTCTTGCAGGCTCCTCACACACAGGATGGTGTAAGCGTAACAGGGGGTGGGAGCGGGGGGGGGGCAGAGGCTGCACAGTGTTGGTACCTCAGGAGCGTACACATTAAGTACACCCTGTGGAAAAGGCCGGTGGCACGCTGCCAACTCCACACTGGGGCACAGCTGGCACTCGATATGGGTATATGCACTCCTCAGTTATGTGGAACACACACACACACACACACAGAGAAATGCATGCCTGTGAATGACCTTGTTGCAAGGAGAATCAATTAAAGCGATTTATCAATCTCTGTGTATCGGCCGTTAGACAACATCGATCAGCAGTGAGAGTTTGGCTGCAGAGTGATGACACTAAAGACCACACGAAGGTACAAATATGAGTGTGTTAAGTGATGTGTGTGTGCAACACGGCATCCAACATGGGTTCACAGGTAAGTGTAGGTAGGCATGGACACTTGGAAAGCACACTAAAAGCAACAATAATAAAAACTAAATAAACTAGTCCCTTCATCTCTGCCTTCCCCCCCAAAAAATGCCTCAGCTGGTCTGCTGATCGTTCTAGTCCAGCAGACACACAGACACACACACACACACACACACACACACACACACACACACACACACACACACACACACACACTCACACTCACACTCACACACACACTCACACTCACACTCACACCAGCATCTGATGAGTCAAACTCCCCATCTCAGACTAATCAGTTGACTGCACTAATTGCAAATGCAAATATGCAAATTTATATTAATTAATTACTCCACTAATTAGTTCTCTTGTCTTTTCAGGTAATAAATCATGGTGTGGTTGAGAGAGAAAGAAAGAGAGTGAGACAGAGACATGGCAGTGATCTTTTGTCTGCTAGAAATCCTCCTTTCAGGTCAGAATCAGATGAGTGTTTTTTGAGGATGATTTTCATCAAAACTCTCCTCCACTGAGACTCCCTTTTTTTCTTCACAGCGGCTCTAACCCGCTTAATTATTCCAATTGATATTTTATGTGTCATACTTGGAGGGTGGAAGCATTGTAATTTGAGAGGTATAGCAAACAGCAGAGGTTGGTAAATCAGGGTGTCTCGCTGACACTTCTTGCCTGTCAGCTCTTTTAATTATCACATTATCAGCTTTTATAGGCACAGCGCGTGGTGTGGAGCTGCAAAAGAAGGCGCCGCTGATCGCACGCTGAGCCGCAAGCGTTTCTCAATTGATGTCAGCAGTTAAGGGGAGTTCCTGTCTTGAGGACGAGAGCAGGGTGAAGTGGTTTGAGAGAGTCGTATTGTGGCACTACAACTTGGTTTTGCCCTTAAGTCCCCTCAGTGCAGGCTTATAGAGTCAGTGACAAGTTATTTCTTTAGCTTAAAGGCTGTAACAATGCTCCAGAATTAACTCCCAAACATGTGTTTTTTTTAAGTTCTGACACTGAATCTGTAATGAGGCTTTAACAGTTAATTTTCAGCTTCTAAACTATCTCTCACTATTACTTTACACAGAGGAATAATGTCAAATAAACTTAAGGCAAAACACTGACACTTTTAGGTTTAGGCTCTCCCAATTAAACAAAAACCTTCCTTCAGCAGATTTTTGTTCTTACACCATGAATGATTTGTTGAGATTTGTCTCCTTTTATCATGAGCTACTCCCAAATCTCTGACATTTCTGTCTTTTGCAACAACTTGTGTCATCTTTTTCTTGTCCTTTCTTTTTCTTGATTTAAGTAGGTAGGAGTCTAAATGTTACTCCAGAAGGGCTATAAGAGGGCAAAACATGTTCACTGCAGGTGTTTTACTCTGTTCACGTCTTAAGTTCACATCTTGAGTTGACATTTGATGTTACATTTAGACAACAAAATCATTTAGTTAAGGTTCGGATCCCAATAATGAATGAATTTGTGAAAGCTTGATATTTTCTGCATTCAACTTTTCTCAGAACAAAACTGAGGGCTTTGGTTTTAGTTCTGCCAGTAGTCCCTTTAGATTTTTTTTTCACAGATTTCAGGTGAAAACCAATAAATGTTGCCAGTGGTCCTTTAATTAACGCACAAGGATATCAATCATGTTAAATAATACAAACCCATAACGATAATACATCTATAAAGGTTGAGGGCTTATGTTTCCTACAGTAAATGCAGCCAATCTGGTGCTACATACTGTATATATACCATGACAATAAACCTTATTTATATAATTAATATCTATGACATATACTAGGATACAAGGTGGCAGTAAAAGTAAACATAAACATAAATCATAAACACAGGGATTTGAATTTTGGAAGAAAAATTCATATTAAAAAACATCATTGTTGATCAAGATGGCTTTTTTGACAAGCATCGAATTAACTAAGAATAATGAACTTTGACAATTACAAGTCATTTATTGTTTCCACATTAAAAAACATCAGTTAAACATCACAACAGAGCGGGGCGTGCTGGTGGCACAATGGTTAGGGCGCGCGTCCCATGTATTGAGACTCTCATTTTGAGCGGTAGGCCCAGGTTCACTTCCACCCGTGGCCCCTTTCCGCGTGTCATTCCCCGCTCTCTCTCCCTGGTTTCTGACTCTATCCACTGTCATCTCTCTGCATTAAAGGCACGAAAAGCCCAAAATAAATCTTTAAAAAAAAAAACATCACAACAGAGCTCAATATCGAAACAGACTGAGGAAACAAGGCATAATCTATCAAACTTCATGGAACCAGCAGTTACATTCTGGTTTCAATACAGTTTTGGAGTATGTTATCAATGAGAAAAACATACTTTGGGGTCTCTATGGTGACAGTGATTCAAAAATTTGGAAAAAAATGAGTCCAAGTCATATATGTCACATAACATTCTGCAGGTAATTTGTCCCTATGACTTTAAATTAGTGCTTTCCAAATTGTCGTATTCCTAAATATGAGCTGGAATCTAAAGGGAAGACATGTTGTTGAACACTGTTATGGGGCAAGTTTCCTTCAGTTACAACAGTGAAACACATCTCCCCCTCCTCTTCCCCACAGCCTCACATCCAACACATGCTGGATGTGCAGAGGAGGGCCGAGGATTGAGGGACTGATTACCAGAGGCCAGGTCCTGGACTGGTGTCCTCCAGCTGTGCTGTTCTACCCAATTAGAATCTCCATATGCTGCCCCACTCAGCTGCTGAGTGGCCACACCTCCCACCCACACAGGTGGGAGCCCGGTGTGTGTTTCTGTGTGTGTTTTGCTTTTGTTGCTGTTGTCTGTAAAAAAACAACAATACAAACCCTTTTCTCCCCATTTGTTTTTAGAGCCAAGATGTTCCAGTGTACAGCGATATATAACACCCTCACAAATTGAATACGCGATGGTCCAATGCTGCAGTACTTTATAGTCCCAACTCGTTTCTTTAAACCCAAACAAAGTAACTCTGACTGTCAAGGCTCCTTTGATAAGAAACACACAGGTATTTAGGTGGGTGGCATGGAAGTGCTAATAGTATTAAAATATGGGGATATGAATAATGGATATGTTTTTGAAGATGTATAATGTAAAGATGTTAGTCCCGTTTTCAGACAGAGATGGGACGCAGACGTGAAATGTTGCTGGAGGCACCCGTTTTCTTTTTCAAAGCACAATCTGTTCGCACGCTTTCAAAGTGGCTGCGGCAATCTGTTGTGGAAGAATGCGACACTTTCAAACCCAGAAAGTGATAAGATAAATAAAAAATGTGTCAGATATTATGTTTAAACAAGAGTCACATCTTTAGCTTCCTGTTTACAGTAAGAAAATGGATAATACATTCTGTCTACCGCATTGTAAAAAAGCAGGGGTGCTTTCTTTTATATCAATCTACAAAGAGAGAAGAGAAAAAGAAATGTAGTTTAAAAATGTATTTTTTTGTCATGCCTGTGGTTCTACTGACCTGCCAAATTTTGCTTTGCGCTCCCCCCCCCCCCCTCTAAGCATGGAGCCGAGGTGATTGACAGGGCTGCAATGTGGTTTTCTCACCTAATCGACACTCTTGGTGTTGATATGATATCTTTCTTCCTCTTCCCTCATCAGCTGTCCTCGGCTCCCCGTCGTCATGCTGAGTCTCAAACCATCTCGTGTTCTTAACTTAGCCAAAGTGTGCTATAAGAAGATTTTTTAATTCTCAGTCCAAATGAAGTTTACACTTTTTTATACTTGCTAAAATATTCGTTTTTTTTTTTTTTTTTTACCATAATGATGCTGCCATTGTCTGTCAAATGCTTTATTTCTCTACAGGCATATCTGAAATAGATCACAACTTGGATTAGTGACTCTCTTGCTGATAAGAGAAGAATTGCACCATTTCTTTAGACAGTTTACCTAGCTTAGAAAAGAGTGCATAACAGAGAAAAAAGCTAGCCTGGATCAATACTAGGCAATTAAATATTGTACCGGCGTATTTAAAGCTTGCTAAAAAGCGTTAAATCTTTCATTTTCCAAATGTTCAAACTGTTGTTTTGATGTTTAAATTGCAAAACCAATATTACATTAAAAGGTATGTGTGTCTGTTGTTAATCTCGCTAAATACCAAACTCCTTCAATCTTGCATCTGAAAAAAACAACGCCTACCTTAAATGACGGTGATGTACGTGTCTCCAGAGCTTTGTTTTCATTTCACTTCCAATTTACAGAAAGTACAGACCAAGATGCCTTTATATGCTAGAATCAATCAGAGCAACAACACGTTGTAGCTAACAGTTTAACCTACTCTGATTTAACTCTGACGCTAAAGCAGATTCTAGCCGAACTAAAAAGCCTCAGCATTTTTCTGACCAGCTCCATGACCAGAAACGTTTAAGGAATGGAGGCAAGTTTGCAACAAACCCTCCATTTTTCAATGTGTTTTGTGAGGTTACAGTGACCTTTGACCCCAGAATTAGAATCAAGTTATCCTTGAGTCCAAGAGCTATTAAGCCACAATTAAAGATTTGCTACACAGAACAACAAACACAGATTAACTCGACAACTTAGACTTAGACTTTAGACTTAATATTTTGGCCAATGCCATTTACAGTGTAGCTGTTACGTCCCCCCCAGAACGCAAAATCTGAATGACAGGGGTCGCGAGTTGGAGAACTAAAAAAACACTGCACTTGTTACTAAAGGGTACCAAATAAGTAGGCCTTTGGTTTCTTAAAGGCGGTATAGGGACATAGCCCACCAAAACCACCCACTGAGTCTATCAAAATGATAGCCAAACAAAAATTGCAGCCAAAAAAAAAAGAGAAGTGGGAGTCAGGGAACAGGGGGGTAAAGGAGGAGTCACAAATGGCTGAAAAGTTTCCGAAACTACACAACACTGAGATTTTCATTCAAACCAAAAAACAAGAAAGCCAACTGATGGTGTTAACTTTCTGGAGACACAACCAACAAAGCAGGGAAACTTCAACCTCCCTATATAGCCTTCCAGCCCAGCTGATTGTCATCAGCCAACAGCTGAGTGAGAACATTACAGGTGCAGTCAATCACTCCTGATGAGCAGGGGAACCGGTGACAGAGGGTCGATTCGGATTGTCCCTTCTATCCCCTTTCACTCTCCTCTTTACCTTAACCCGGAGGAAAACGTCATGAGGTTACAGATAGATGTTAGGAGAATTCATAAAGGACTATGTGTGCATTCAAATTGTCTTTTTTTGCATAGGAAGGTTCTTACTGAGTGAAATGACCCGGAAGCATTTAAGTGGCGGCGATGATAAGAGTCGTTTGAATTCTCTGAAAGTTAAGGAAAGGTGTGTCGGTGCTTCCTTTATAACCTCCTTTAGCATAGGATACACTGGACCATCCTTTACGAAAGGAGATAAGATAATGCCGTCCCACAATTCCTTGCGGCCGCAATATTTAAAGCGACTCGTATATATACTCATTCCTAAGCATGAAAGACAATTTGAATGCACCCCTAGTTCATTGGGAATCTATCCATAAAACAACATTATAACAATCAATGGATGCTTCCAAAAGTTTTTGCTAGAGGATTATTATTTTGGGCTGTATAATATTTAAAACCTTTACATCTTTGTGTCGTCCCCTCTATCCATTGTTTTCATGTTGGAGTCTGGAGACTTCGAACATTTGTCAGTTTTGAAAAAAAACATTCTTTGACTCTTGAGTTTTGGACAAAAGCAGATAATTTGACTTCAGATAAAGATGAAGAAGTGACTTCAAAACAAATAAATTAAATCTATTGTTACAGTGCTGAAAAGATCTCAACATGACACCTAGCCAGTTGTGAAACTTTTAAACCAGTTTGAACAAGATCAGGTTACATCTTGTCGCAGTGCTCTGGTTTGAAGTTGAGTTACGGGGAAAGAGTCAACACCACAATGACTAAATATGTTGTGAGTTCTTTAGCCGTTCATTTGAATGTGCTCACTGGTTCTTTTACAGCTTTTATGACTTTTTTCTGTAGATACTGTCAGTACAATGAAGTGAACAAGTGTTGAATATATACAGTTAATTGTAAGTAAAGCAGTGCAACTGTGTACATAACTCCAAAACAAAAGCTCTACATTTTAAATCTTCCTTTATTAAAAATTTAGAAAACTTTAACATCAAAATGTGTTGAAAATGAGAAAAGTAGCAGGATTCATGACCAAATTTCCACTTTGCTCAGTCTAAATTTGTTATAGGATTCTTAAAAGAAGAATAAAACTGATCTGGAATTATATTAACTTGTTGTTTTTTCTTGAAATTCAAGAATATCCAGTTGATAGGTCGAAAAATCCTGCTACAGGAAGATGATTTATTTTATAAAGCGATTTAAATACCGTTCTTAATAATTCAAACCATCCATTTCTCTAAATGAACTCCTGGCATTTATATCTGAATATTTTGGGGTATTTTCATTAATCCATCACTTCTGTGGAGTCGACTGGAGCCACTTTCACAGCACATCTTTGTCCGCAGCTCATCATCTGCTGTGTGTCACAATGGAGGGGGGGGGGGGGGGGGGGGTCTGCCCTGCCCCCAGGAGCCCACCTAAGGGGGCTTACAGTTGGCAGTCAGGATTCCTCACCTGACGGGCTTCCAGAGAGGAAGCACTCGGCTGCCAGCAGAAATAGCTTCTTCCTATTTGGGGTCGGCTCTGAGTCAAGATGGGGGAAGCTTGGCTCTTTAAGAGTTGGGCCAATTCCCAGACTCACTGTGTGCTCGAGCCACAGGGCCCTTTGATTGTGGGCTCTCCATCAGTCACTCGAAACACGGCTCTGTGCTGCTTTCAGTGGATACACAGGGTTTCATTTTTATTAAACAGCTTGATCTGCAGTGTCGACTATACATGCCGCGTGTAGTTAAGTGGTGGGAACATGCTGGTATCTGGTCAGGTCAGAGGATGCATTCCAACAAGGCCAAAACTGACACCTCAGAGCGATAAGCTTATTAGTGTGAGGTTTGAAGGATCTCTCTTCCAAACTAATATGGACATACAAATCCATGCACACACTCAGATGCACATGTAGGCACACGATCCTCTAATTTCAACTTTAGAACACATCTTTCTTTATCTTGTTTTTTCTCTGTTTTTATCCCTTCTTTTATTGTTTTATCTTGTTGAATTACGTTTAATTATCTTCCTCTTTTTCTTTTCCTCCCAACACCATGTATGTATGGGTTTGTATTGTCTACCACTTGCATTGTTTTAAATTTCTTACTCACAAAAAATACCTTATTTAAAGTCTTTGTTTAATAGAAGGTCCATTAATTGACCTGTTGATTGACAGAAAATGCTAAATATTCTTTCATTACCCATTTCCAGCCAGGATGGTTATCAGAGTTATCTTTGAGTTAGGAATGTTGGGTGAACAAAACATGCAAACTGCAGACTTTAAAGACTTCTTTTGAAATATTTTGTGTAACATCTTTTTTCAGAGCTGATTAAAAGTAACCCACAATCTCATCCCAAGGTATCCAGTTTACAATCATGTGAAAAAGAAGTAAACTAAGAAAAGCATCAAAGTCTTACATTTCACAAAGAATATTTTGGATTTTTCTGTCATTTAACCATTTGACAGTTTATTCAAGTAAGGAATCTGTCAGCAGATTAACAAATCTTTATACGATATCTCTGCTGAACTGTGTGTTTGTGATAGAAGGACGAGTGAGAGGTTATTTTTTTGTTACGTTTGCCTGCCTCCACATTAGCATATGTGCATCTATTATGCATGTGAAATGTGCACTTGAGCGGATCTCTTACACAGGTGTGTCTGTTTTTCTTTAGATGAAGGCAAAGCAAACTTATTAGCAGGTCCAGTAACATCGAAGCAGCAGGCCCCGCCGGTGGCCGTGTGATTAAATCACACACAGAGGGAGTCTCAGGGAGCTGGCGAATGCTTTTACACCCTCCTTCTACTCCCCCCCACCCCCCCACCCAAATTCTTCCTCCACCAAGTAGCACTGGAGCTCAGCCCGAGAAATGGGACTTGAGTCTGGTGGAGCACAAATACCAACACTTGCAGAAATGCCTGCTCAATCTGTATTTGCGTGTATGTACTCAAATGAGTATGTTGTCTTCTCCATGCACAAAAATGTGTTTTAGTACACAAAGCCAAGAGCCCAAAGCAACACATATGCAAACATGGGAAAAAAAAAGGAATGTGTCTGTAAATGAACCTTGGTGCACCAAAGTGATGCAAGATCAACTTGAGTCAGACCAACCAGCCTTGACTGGAGTTCGAGCCAGTAAAAGAAGCTAATTTACATGTTTTACTTCTGAGCAGATTGACTTTTTAAGAGAATAATGAACAAAAACAACAGCTCTGTAAATCAACACTGAGCAAGAACAGAAAAAAGGGACACAAATCTTACTTTGTTGCCAAAAATAAGCATTAAAATCTCTTTAAAATACTGTGAATGGCTTTTGGTTACAGGCAGTCCCTGTTCTCTTGCCTGGCAATGGTCTTTTATGGCGAGGGACCTAATACAAGATTTCTGTTCTAGTGCAAACACAGTGGCCATGGGCACCAAGGAACAGCTGCCGTATAATTGAATTAACATTCGCCTTCTGCTCCGGCACTCAGCTCAGTGCTGAGGAGTCGTACACATCCCTCCACCAGCTCCATCAACCTGCACATGAATATGCATGCTGCTGCCTGTGATAAATATGCACTCTGTGTGTAATGTTTGTGGAGCTGCATGTATGGAGGATAAAGAGCTATACGCAGACTGTCCGGGGAGAGACACGGTGTTCATGGAGTCCACTGATCTTCTTTAGAGCTGCAGGCTGAGGAGAGATGAGGTGTTGGTGGAGATTCAGTGTGATCTGAAGGCTAACAGAGACACCTAGTGGATCATACACAGTGAGACATGATACATTATACAGGACTGACTGTAACAGCAAAGAGTAATGTCAAGTTTCTTAATCGTGACCTTAATGTTGATATTTGAACCTGAAAGGAAATATTTGTCTTTCAAAGGTATTATAATAAGGTCTAAACTCCTCCTGTCAACCTATCACTTGGTTTTTTTAGGCAATAAACTTTATGTTGGTCAGAGAGAGAGCTTATATTTTCTTTCTTGCAAGGAAAGCAATTCTCCCCCCAAAAATATGTGTAATTTGAACTGTTTCCAATATGATGAGGTTTAACTGATCTGTGATAACAATGACCTGAAACTGCAGTATAATTCTTTAAAAAGTACCGTGTATTTTTTTTGGCTGACATTGCACCAGTATAGAAAATATGACTTTAACATGTAGGAACAATAAGGTATCAAATTGCTAAGTTGACAAATATGGGATTAACAATGTAGGTACTTGCACTTACAATATTTTATAGGGTAGTCAGCATTAACTAGTTTATCACAATAAATTAAGGTCTGAATTTTGTCCCTCTAGGCACACCATGGACAAGCCTCTGCAGCGTCTCCCTGTAGTCCCAGTGATGGAAAAGAACCACACTGTAATTTTAAATGTCTCAATTCACTTTAATTTGTTTTTGAGACAAGTAATATCCACCTGATAACATCAAACAAAAAAAAGTTCAAGTTAATGTTGTAACCTTTTATCTACCAGAAGGTCCTTACTTTATTCCAAAATAAAAGCAGGGTTGAATTCAAACAACAAGCGCAGTATTCTCTGCTTAAGACAGTAAAATACTTCAAAATAAAAGCCTAACATTTTTTTTTATGCGAAAAAAAGGAATTCCAAATATGCAATTAAAAATGTTTTTAATCGCTGAGTTGTTTTAACAGCACAGTTGTTCTTATTAGAATACTTATTTTAAACGATTTTATGTTCTGGGTTTTTATAACAATAAACGTTTGTCTTTACCGATCTATCGTCCAGCCTGGGTGACTTTTCTAAAAGCATTAATAAAGAGGCCTAAACAGACGTGATATTTGACTCGTTTGATGCTAAAA